AATCGGGTCTGAAGCCTATCTGTGAGGGATTAAATATTTAATCTCATTTAATACCCCTTCTCAAATTTATTTATAGCAGCAGCTATTACAGTTTACTGTTCGAACATGATAAATCCTTCCCTCTATCCCAACATATCTTAAATCTGTTGTTTCCTAGAGGTGTTATTGACTTCTAAGAATGAGGCAGGCTGGAGGAAAAGAATTCTATGAAATGGAGATTTTACTCCAGTTCAGAAATTAATTTTCATGTCATCCTTATAATTGCATGTCACCCTTATAAATGAATAGAGGCCACAACAATTTCTTAGAAATACAAGTGTGTGTTTCTGGGGTGAACTGAATTGATGTGCCAGATTCCCTCAGCATTCCCTCGTTTCCAGAACTGCAGTCAAAGCAAAACTCGACCTAGTTGCTGGAACCTGTAGTTAGAACAGAACTTCTGACTGCTGGAGTACTGACTAAGTTAGAGAATTTTAACTGACAGCTCATTTTCGGCGCAGGATCTCTGAAAGCTGATGTTTCACTTCGTCCTTGTGCAACTGAGATCAGTGGTTGGTCTGTGGCAAACACTGCAAATCCCCTGGATATCAAGATCCAGATATTAAATGCAAACTTTTCTCCTAAAATTATTAGTACTCTGAGCAAACACAGATGACTAGGGAATTAAGTCAAAGCAGTGGTTATTTTTAAGCACAACTTCCAATGCATGGGTTAGTTTTCCAGGAGGAATTTGCAGTGACTGGCTGTAATTAGGCAAAACCATTACTTGATCATGTGAGTAAATTGAAAAGTGTAGGAGTTTGTTTTAAAGTGAAGGTAATTCTCATACTCCATCCAGTGCCAGTTGTGGTTTGCAGTGAGCACAATGAGAACATTCCATCTGCCTGGATGCAAAAGTGTTCCATAATTAAACCTCACACACAATCAGTTTTGCATTGTCTTGGCTTCTATTTCTGTCCTTTTTGTATAAATTCAAACCAGAAAGCTTCAAGGGCATAAATTATTAAATAGCTTCAATGTTTTGTTCAATGTATTGTAATTATTTGGACTTGGAGCAACCTGGTCTAGGGGAAGGAGTCCCTGCCCATGGCAGGGCATTGGAGCTGGATGGGCTTTAAGGTCCCTTCCAACCCAAACCATTCTGGGATTCTGTGATAAAGATGTGGGTTTTTGTAATGTTGTTTTCTTGCACTATAGTTTTCCTAGTCTTTATTGTGGGAATACTTCCACTATTCCTTAGATGTGTGCAGTGTCACTGGAATAACCATTTATTGCTGAACTCTCAGTTGAGAGTCTCTGGAATGGATGTAGCACATCCTGTGACCAGTATGGCTTGTACTGTGCTGGGGAATCCTGATGCTTGACCAGGAGCTGCCCAGAGCCTGATAATCTATGTCTGATAAGATTATCAGTAGTGAAATAGGGGATCTCTTTGTTTGAAGCCAGATTCACTGACTTAATCAAATACTTAGGAAGCTTAGGAAGCAGGTCTTGCTGTATTAATAACATCTTCTCCCAGCATGAGACATTAGTGTCAGAGGAGTAATGAAATACCTTCTGAGATCAGAATTTCAATTACTGTCATTGGACTGGGGAATTTATCCTACATCCCATATTGAAGGGATTGTTCCTTGGCTCATGGAAGTGCTTCACTCTCAGCAGAAAAGCTGGATTCACATTTTAAATGGTTCTATTTGCAGTTACAAGAATTGGGAATTAACTATTTTTACAGCAAATCTATGTCCTACAGGCCTTTGTAGTGTTACTAGAAAAGTGCCAAGGTGATTTTACCCCACACTGCTGGTTCAGTTCAACTCTGCCACAGTCTGAGAGAAAATAACACTGGCTGTTGCCAAGACTACTGAAATCTGCTGGTTTTAAATGAAAGGTATTACTGTAAGCTTAGAGAAAGATTGCAGAATTGTGTAAGAAACAATCTCATTGAAAATTTCTTAAATCATATGTATTTAAATCCCAGTGTAATCTGAATTTCCAGTATATAAGACAGTGGGAGCTGGGGTATTTTAGACTCCAAGATCATGCTTCTGGCAGACCAAACAACCAAAGTAAGACAGTCACAAAATTGCTGATAATGGAAACAAGGAAATATTTTCTCTTAAATATACATAAATATATGCTTGGTAATAGTTTTACTGCTTAGAGGTGCAGAGCAATGATAAGAGAAATAACCAGGAGTGTTAAATAATCTTGCTTTCATCACCTCCCTCAACTCCTGTGTCGCAATTAACGTTCAGCACTGGTCAAAGTGGTGTAATCTGAGAACCTACAGGTCATCCCACACCCCCCCTTCTCCTTCACTTCCTTTTCTGTATAAGGAAAGCCTTAAATCAAGGACTTGATTTAATTGGGATCAATTCAAGGACTGTTCAGTGTTTCCTTGTTGAAGGTGAAAGGTGTTTTATCAAGCTGTGATGTTACAGTTCACATTCTGGGCTCTGTGGGTTTATGTGGTTCTTTGTTCATTTGTACAGGTTACATTCTGTAGGTAATTTCAAGAATTAAACTGATACCTGCAGTTATTCCAGCTTTGGAATTGTGCATAGTAGCCATTAGATGACAACAGTTTCCCCCTTTTTTATCACTCTATTAATATAACGTAGAAATAACCTTCAGTAATTTGTGTAAAGATCAGTACAAAATTAAAAGCTTACCCTTGGAAAAGTTATTTGTGCAGTTTCCCCCCCAGCTGGAAAACCTCATATAAAAAACCTGCTTTTCAATGTATTTATTTCTTTCAGCTTCTTGCTCAGCCATCTTCTATCCAGGCTGGCAGTGAAGAAGGGGAACACCCTGCTGTAGTAACAAGCCCTTTGTAGTTTGGACTCTTAAAGTTCCTAACTGGTGGAAATAATTTATGTTTATGGGAGATAAACTACGTACTTACGAAATCTGACTTGCAACCTACCCCACAAAAGAGCAAGAGAGAAAACATGGAAGCTGTGCCTTCCTAATAATGATTCTTAATCAAAATCTTAATTACATTGCACATTATGGACTTTTATTGGAGAGAAATCTGCTGAACCAGCCAGTCAAAGAAGCAGAAGGTCAGAGGTGTTGGAGGAAGGAGGAAGTTGGTTTTAGCCCTTTTTTTGAGACTTCTCCAGCATTGTCCCAGTATTTCAAAGGTTAGCACACAGAAGGGTGAGGATGCATTACCTGGGAGGGCTGGAGAGACTTGGCAAGTTCAGGGTGAAGGCAGGAAAGGCAGAGCTCAGCAGAGATTCAGCTGGATGTGAGAGGTCCCTAAACCCCAAACTACTGCTTTCTCCTTCTCCTTTCCTCTTGCCTTGTTCTGGGTTTGTTGTGCAGGGTTTCCCAACACACTTGTTAAAGCCCCAGGAGGAGCTGTGGAAGGTGCACTTGCAGACAGAGAAGTGGGATGGAAAATGTTACCTCCGAATCCATTTGTGGTTTAGCCTGTTTGCCAAAAAGCCTGTTTCCACCTCTGGTTGCATGGGAGGAGAAACCCATTATGGCTTTTCATTGCTCTCCTGAGCTGCTGTGCTACAACCACTGTTCCTTTTGCACTATAATTCAGCATTTACTACCTCCAGGACCTAAATAAAACCATTACTGTACTGCTGCCTTTTTTTCCCTCTTTCTCCAGGCCTGCTTGCTGGTGACTTTGTGAATATTCATTACATGCTTGTTTTCTTGCCGAGGATGTTGATACATTGGTTCATCTTGACTGATGCCCTTGACTTTAGAAGATAAATAGCAAAGTGGAGATAGGTGGCAGGGATTGATTAGCAATCCAGCTCCTGAGCCAACACGTAAACACTCCTAGATAAGCCTGCAGAATGCACCTTGGTGGAATTAAGAACAGGTTTTAGGGTGCAAGAGGAGCCTTCTGAAGCTGCCAAGATACAAATCTTTACTTGATGCCTCCTGCAGAAGGCTTATGTTCACCAGTGGTTTATTCTCATAAAATGAGTTTCCTAGTTTTGATAGAAAAATATCACTTCTTGTATTAATACAAATTAATAACTATTTGAAATAGTGCAAGTTGTACTTACAGCAGTGAAAGATGCTTGCATTAAACTGAGCCTAAACAGATATAATTGTACATTTTCAGGAGTTTTAATTGATATCTTTGGTGCAAACTTGGCTATTTCAGATAATGATCCTTCAGCCTAGTGAGTGCTGAGGAAAGGGTAAATAGGGACTGATGTGCCCCATCCTCTGTGAGACATATTCCAAACTCCCTGTCCAAAGCACAGGCAGAATGAAATTCTGCTGTACTGGCAGTGAAATGGGGGGACTTAGTGCCAGGAGATATCGATGTCCTGAATACACACAGATACAAGGAACAAACAAGCTCATCAACATAAAACCCATCTTGGGATGTACACAAAGGACCTGTGGGCAGCTTGGACAGTCTTTAAGAGTCATAAATTGCTGGTAGGCAGTGCCAAAGGGATACTGTATGCCCAGATTTTGGAAGAATTTAGGAATTAGGTTCCCCATGCCTCAGCCTTAGCAGCCTGTGCAGTGCTGCCCCTCCCTCAGCCCTCTGCCCTTGTGCATCCCTTCCCTCCTTGTGACAGTTCCTTTGCTGCCAGGAATTACTCTGGCAGTGAAGTTGTCCTGCCTTATTTCCTTGTCTCTCTGCAAACAAGGCAGGAGAGGATGGAAGCATGGAAAAATATCCCTGCATACCCAAGAAGGGAAGAGGATTTGGCAGCTTTCGTGTAGCTCCACCACAGCTGACTGTCTCCACAGACAAAACACTTACCTGGTTATCACAGCCATGTTTGTGCACTCAGAGAACCCAGAATTCAGGTTCAATAAAACAATGCAAAAAGGAAAAAAAATACTGTCCCAGATGACACAAACAGCCCTTTATCCTATGACCTCATTCCACTTGTATTTTCCTGGTGTGTTCTGTGCCAATGCTCCCTGGGGTGTGTTGGGGGTGGGTGGTGGGGTTTGTACATGTTACTTTTTCAATTAATTGCGTACAAAATTTCTCTTTTCAGTTGTATATGAGCACAGGTCAAGATTAGAAAAGTCATTACAAAAGGAAAGGCTGGAACATAAGAAAGCAAAAGAAGGTAAAAACGTGCTTTTGTTCAACTTGATTATTTGCAGAAAGTAACTTCAAATGCTCTTTGTTCAGTTTTAAATGAGTCGAGTAACACATTAGCAGGACCCCCTTGGCAGAGCTGGGCTGGTCTTTTTAGTGGTTCTTTCTTATTTATTTATTTTTTTTTATCAGATATTTTTAAAAGCAATCATCTTTTTAGTACTGTTTACAGATCCCTGCAACATGACACAATATACACAGGGGATATATTTATATCCATGTACATAACCCTAACATGTATGTGGAGTGTGGGCATGTGGAAATCCTGTTCTGGCATGCCAAACATTCAAAACTTGTACCAAAAACATGGGATCTCTTCCTGCCTTCCATCATTGGGAAATTAGACTCTGAATCGGTACTTTTTCGCGTGCTTAAGGATAAACACACGCTCACATATATATTCCTGATTAAAACTGAGTTCCAGGGAAGTGTGTGAGGGGGAAATGTTGGCACAAATTGTATTTCTTACACTCTGCCCTCTATGGAAGTTCAGCTGGATTCAGTCCTCTGAGTTTTCTCACTCTTTTGTTGTTTTAAATTCACCACAGTTTTCAGAGTAAAGCCTCTGTTCCTCCTAAAACTGAGGGCTTGGGTGCTGAATTAAAACTGCTACTTTAGCACAGATGAAAAGGAGTAAGAAACGATTCTCACCGTGAGGTTCTCGGTGGGTTTCTGGTGCCATCTAGTGTAGAACGGTCCTGCTGCTACCCGAGGGTGAGGCAGCGTTTTCAAACCCTAAAAAGAGGATCGAGGAACCAAGGAGAGAACGTTTTCTCATCTCCAAGAATACACAATTTATAAATGTCATTTTCCTTTTGAATGATGCTCATGGGCCCATCCAGAGTCTTGAGCTTCTACCCCTCTATGTCACACCAAGATGTGAAACTTTTAAATGAAAACATTTTGTGAAACTGTGATACCCTTTAACAAAAATAAATTCAGCATTTTGTTAAATTCTTCTTTTTTTAAGACCTTTTTAAGAAAATTGTATCTGCACAGGTATTCAGCTCTTAACAGAATTTATGCATGCAACAGTCAAGTTATTTAAGCACAGATTCTTATCTTCCTGTTCTTTTTTTCATCAGTACTCTCCCTTTTTATGTTGCAGATTTTCTTGTTTATAAACTAGAAGCACAGGAAACACTAAATAAAGGAAGGGTAAGTCATCTTTCCTAGTACAAGTTTTTAATAGCTGAGAAAGGAAATGCTCTGCAATTATAACTGTTCAAAGAAAGAGGTCCTGGAAAATACTAATTGAAAGAGCTCTCACTTATCTCAGTCTACTCTGCATGCATAAGTGCTCTCCAACTCCTAATTATTGGAGGTGTAGTAGGAGATACTAATATCTCTCCAGAAAATTAATTTAGAAAATATCCTCCTATTTATATGATGGTAGTTTAAACATAATGTTCTTATATTTAAGGGGAAAGGGGAACGAGAAGGTGTTAGAAATCTTTTTGTAGCTTAGTCCACAGGGAAAAGCACAGTGACAGCTTTCTAACACGTGGTCTTTGAACTGGAAAGCATAAAAACATCAAGAAACTTTGTTTTATACACCAAGTGCCAGAAGGAAAACTGTATCTGGCAGAGGACCCAGAGACCTGTAGGGAACTCTTTATAAAGCGAGTAAATTAGGATTTTATGGCTATTTCATGTTGAAACTGGGGAGCAGTTTGTGAGCTGAGTAATGTGACTTAAAATGTGTTGTTGCTGCAGTAAGTGCAGAGTGTATGTGCCTGCTCTGCTCCAGAGCAAGGGGGAGGGTGAATTTGTTTCCTGGGGAGTTACATCCCTTATCTTGTGACTCCTAAATAACTGACTGAATGGAATTTAGAGGAATGTCAGTGTGGTTCTGTTTGACACCGGTGTTTGTGTTTTACAGCAAGACTCCAACAGCAGATACAGTGCTCTGAGTGTCCAACACCAGATGCTGAAGGTGGGTAACTGGGGCAGGAGGACACCAGTGTCCTGTCAAACTGGTTATGCTGGGGGGATACAGCCCTGCTGGGTTCTGGTTCATTCCAGAATGTCAGGACATGGATGGTGCCTTCCTCACTCAACAGTACCCTTAAAAGATGATTTACTGCAGTTTTTCCCAGTCAGACTTTCCAGGGGGGGTAATTTAATCTTATCAAATGCAATTATTGTAGGGAATGCTGACTTATCAGCCCTCACATAGTTTGGCATGTGAGGATTTTCTTAGACACATTGAGCAGCTCCCAGAGAGACAGTGCAATGTGGGCTGAGGTGACAGAGCCCTGGAACAGGACACTGCTCATCACAGAGATCATTCTGTGTTTGAGAGGAGCTTCAATGTGCATGCTTTGAATAATAACCTCCCTGTGATGAATGCTTCCCATTCATCTGTGCTTATTAAACAAATTGCCAAAGACAATATTAGCCAGATATGCAGATACAGAACTGCTCCACTGTCCCAACTTGGTATTTGCAGAGTCAACATGAAGAACTGAAGAAGCAGCACGCTGACCTTGAGGAAGATCACAGAAAACAAGGAGAAGAGTTTAGCAGGACATTCAGTGTTCACAAGGAGAGATACTTGCAGCTGCAGCAGGAGAAAGAGCAGGAGATCTCCAAGCTGAAGGGTAAATCTCACCTGCGTCTGGCTGTCCCATTAAATTGTGTGTTTGCCATTGTGTTTTGTGTGGGGTGAGAGAGGCGTTTTCTCTGTTCTCTCTCACAGGTCATTCAAGCATCTTCTGCCTCCTGCTAAGTTACATTTTACTGATGATTGTCTGTGGCCTCTCTCTGAAATCTATTCATGTGTGCTTTGTGTTTGTATCTGGGTTAGAGAAATAGTAAGAAACTCAGCACTTAAAAACCTGTCAAGTGTCAGAGGCTGTTTAGCCAGACTTTCATTTTTAGTGCTAAGACTTGTATAAACCTGGAAGAATAGTTTTACCTCTTTATTGTTTTTTGTAATTGAAATGGAATCTAAGAATATTTGCCAATTCTATCAGAAATTTAATTGTGCCTCTTCATGAAGTGACTTTATATACATTTTAGACCTCATTTTCCCCTCTGTGTATCAGCTCCTCTGAAACACCTGCATACCTGGATGATGAAGTCATGTTTTACTCTTGGCATCTAGTTTCCTGTTAAATAGATTCCTGGCAGTTTTCAGGCTTCTTCAATCCTCATTACACAATTCCATGGAACAAAAGGATGGGGCTGTCCCCACCAGGGCCCTCAGCCATGCTCTGCCATGTGTCACTGATTCAGGAGTTAGTTTTGGAGCTGTCTGCAGCTTTGTCTGCAGAGGCTTTTGCAGGATTTTGTGTTTATTAGCTCTGCCTTGACAGCACAGTCACACAGTGAGCTGGGCTGAGCTGGGTTGCAGCCTAACAGCCTGGAGTGTGCGAACAACAACCTGCCTATATCTGCTCACGATATTCCACATCAGTATCATGTAAAAAGTGGGAATACAAGCCCCTCTCCCTGGTCCCAGAAGCTTTTTAAGCATTCTGGCCCATCTTGTCATCCCTTCCAAAGGAGTAGCCTGGTCCTACCACAGAAAATTCTCACTCACCAGATGCCATGTGGGGAGAGAGAGGAGGGTTTCTTCCTCTCTGCCTTTCAAAGATTCAGGTTTCCATATGGAATTTTGCCATCTGCAGCGCCCGGCGGGAACAGTGGTGCAGAGTTCCAGATGCAGCCTGAGTGCACTGATATAAAATTTAATCCAATGTTACAATTTTCTGCTTGAAAATGTAAAGCTTTTCATAGGGCTGGGGAGAGATGTAACAAAACCAAACCATACAATTATTCTGTTTAATTTTTACTGTAACAATTGTGTGGGATTTTGTGTAGATTGTGTTACACTCTCAATTTTGGTGCTTAGCCTGGTATTATAAATCTGAGCAGGTTTAAATTCTGTAGTAATATTCTGTGTGTCATTTCTTTTCAACAGAATCCCTGTATAACTTACGAGAGGAGAACAGACAGTTGAGAAAAGCTCACCAAGACATTCACACCCAGCTGCAGGATGTCAAGGTAGGCTTTGCTCCGAGGAGAACTTTCAACAGTAGGAAAAAAATTTCCCAAGTTTTCAGAAGCCAGAATTAGGCTGTGCTGAAAACTTGTAGTTTCTGTTGTGTGGCCAAAAGGAGAGGAATATGGCTGAACTGGATTTCTTGTCTTTGGCCACCTGCACTTAAGGTAAATTGCTCATTTAAAAAAAAACAAACCAGGGGAAAAAAAAAACAAAAAACCTGAAAAACAAACAAATGAAAAAACCCACAACAATGAAGTGTTTAGTATAGAAATTACAATTGGGAATTTGATTTTGCAAGTTAAGAACTGAGTTTTGGCAAAACTCAATGCCTGATGTTTTCCAGCTCTATTCCTTTAAAACATTCATCCTCATCTCCCTCAACTTTTAATTTTATTCTAGCTACACAAATCCTGGCCTCCAAATTCCCTTCCCTGGTGTGCTCGCTTCCTCTGTCTGTTTAATATGCATTCCATGTTAAATAAATAAGTGCTGTCATTCCAGCTCAGGATTTTCCTTTCAAAATAAATTGAATTCTCTTCCTAGTTCAAAACCCCTCAGCCTCCCTAATTTACCTTTATGAACTTTATGTGAAACATGTAATGTTCTTCTTTTTGTGTAGCAACAGCATAAGAACTTGCTGTCCCAGCACAACCAGCTTGTGGTGACACTGGAAGACCACAAGAGTGCACTAGCTGCTGCTCAGGTCAGAAGGAAAGCAGCTTCTCCTGGCTCTCAGCTTCCTCAGACTCTCTTTTTCCTGGTTCACTGCAGTGTGGTGCATGTGGCCTTTGGCATGCTGGGATTTCACTGGCACTGTGCTGCACTCAGAGGGAAGTGCATGAGTTCAAGGGTGGCTCTTAAGAAGCTGCAACAATTCACAGGGCTGTCAGAAAACAAAAAAAGATCTATTACTACAGGCCCAAGAGTGCATGTGTTACTTATAACCAGAGTATCTCTGCTTCCATGGCAGCTGTCAATAACTTCCTTCCTCTGCCTTCTCTGATAAAACTCCTGTTAGTTGAACATCCCACTCTCTGATGTTCACATTTATCACTTAAAAAGACCTGGCTGCTGGTATAAAATCTCTTTTTGTGTGTGACTGGAATGTCTACAAGGTTTCCATAGAATCCCAGAATGGTTTGGGTTGGAAGGGACCTTAAAGATCATCTCGTTCCACCCCCTGCCATGGGCAGGGACACCTTCCACTAGCCCAGGTTGCTCCAAGCCCCATCCAACCTGGCCTTGGACACTTCCAGGGGTGGGGCAGCCACAGCTTCTCTGGGCAATGGGCATCAGTGCAGCAGCAAAGTCTATATGGAGGAATAAATATATATTTACATTCTAAACTCTGGGTGGAACAGAAATTAATTCAGAAAAAAAAGCAGCAGCATTATGTTTCTTTACTGTCATTTTCAAGGGAACTATCCATGAAGCACAAACTGTTGCAGGCTCAGTCAGCTGTGCCAGTACAAGCTGTGTGGACCACAGGGAATCTGAAAGCAGGAGTAATGCTGGAGCAGAGGAAGACTGTTGGTCAATGATCAGAGGGAAAGGCAGTTAGGCAGTGTGAATTTACTTTTATTCCTGATTGATTTTCTTCATTTAAGCATTTTCCTGGTCCACAAAATCATTATCAGCATTAAAAGCATTGGATCTTCTTTTTTTTTTTTTTCCAGCTCTCCTTGTTGTGCATGTCAATACCTGTAGGTATTCAAAAAATAGGGAAAGATCAGAAAATTCCCTCTTCGATAAGTATCTGAGGAATCTTAATCTCCAGTACTAAAACATGCTGACAGCTAATTTTAAGTTCTTCTCCCACTGGCCACGTTTGCTACTTGGTACATGTTTGCTAACAACTGAAGTTCCACAGGGGCAGAGGCAGGGGCTGATTTAAGGTTCACCAAATCCAAAGGGAAGCTCCATATACTTCTCCTGGCTTTGATTCAGCCCTTTAATTATAAAACCTGTGTCACACAAAGCCTTTCTGTCTGCAGTCAGGATGTGGCATTTGTCCTGTGGAGAACCTTTCCTTCAAGGGAAGGGTCTTGCCCACGCTTTCAGAACAGAGGGTGTTTTGCACCATTGCAAACCAGCTGCAGAAAGTTCCCAAGGGATTATTTCACAGCTCCAGAAGTGATTCCTCCATTCCTACGTGTGTTCTAGACATTGAATACCAGCAGTCAACACTGCACTAAAGAATTTGTGACCTGAATCTTTAAAGCATTGTAGTCTTTGTGCTTTTCCACAGCCAGACTGATTAATTATTTATTTTAATAAACCCTGTTTTCTACCTTTTAAGCTGTGGCCTTGAATCAGAATGTTCAGTTTAGTGACTCAGCAGTTGAACAAAGTGCTTGAATTCAGATCTGGATGTGCACTGTTTAAATATAATAGAAACCTGGAATGGTGTGGGTTGGAAGGGATCTTAACACTCATCTCATTCCATCCCCCTGCCATAGGACACCTTCCACTATCCCAGGTTGCTCCAAGCCCCGTCCAACCTGTCCTTGGGCACTTCCAGGATGGGACAACCACAGCTTTTCTGGGCAGCCTGTGCCAGGGCCTCCCCACCCTCACAGGGAACAATTAACTCTTAATATCTAATCTAACCCCTCCCTCCTTCAGCTTAAGGCCATTCACCTTTGTCCTGTCCCTCCATGCCCTTGTGAAAGGTCCCTCTCCAGCCTTCCTGTAATCCCCCTTTAGGCACTGGAAGGGGCTCTCAGGTCTCTCTGGAGCCTTCTCCTCTCCAGGTGAACATTCCCAGCTCTCCCAGCCTGTCTCCAGAGCAGAGGAGCTCCAGCCCTTGGAGCATCTCCGTGGCTTCCTCTGGACTCATTCCAACACATCCCAGCATGTTCATCTCTCTGCATGGTCAGCAAGTGGGGAAAAAAGAATCAAAGACCTGTGTTTTAGTATTACATTCAGTAAATATTTATTTTTCCTCTAAAATTTCTGTTTGACCTCTTCAGCAGTTAATCAGGAAGCAGGAGTATCCCTCTGGAATGACAAGAATGACTGTGCACTCTGCTTTGCTTTTAGGCCTGTCTGTTTTAACAGAGGCTTTTTGGAGATGCTTTGAGGTGTGTCTGCCTTCAGAGCTGGGCTGTGCTGCCCCATGTCAGCCTGTAGCACTTGTGGGTGTTGTTTTGTGTGAGTGTTGTGCTCCAAGGCTTCCTGCCTGTGCTGCTCCAGCAGTGCTGTGATACCACAGAGCACACACAGTGACACCCAGGGGGAACCACACAGTTTTTAACCTGAATTTGATAAAGGATTATTAAATGAACCTCTAGTTTCAAACTGGTAGCAAACACCCCCCCACACCTCCACAGGAGCAGCAGAGAAACCCTCTGGTGGGGCACCACCTTTTGTATGTGCTGGGCAGCTTTTATACATCCTACCCATCCCAAAAAAATCTACTTACATTGATAACCTTTCTTGTACATCTGCTGCAGAGCCAGGGACTGGTGCCCCAACCCATCTGGATTTTCTTTAAAGCCTTTTGAAAGTATCCTGATCTTGCACAAAGTTAAACAGCAAATCGAATTACAACATTTTACCGTTGCATTTCAGGAAGACTTTAGAAATTTAAATTTTCTTTCCTTCTTCTCTTTTTTTTCCCTTGCTTTTCACCGGTGGTGTGCTATGACTTTCTTTGCCTCACTTCTGTATGTTGGCTGTTGTCTCATGGAACACCTGTCTAAGTGTGGCAGATTTGGCATTTTCATGACATGTATATACTTTAAAACCACTGCTTCTGGAAGAGCTGCACTTCTTTCTACCAGCAAAGGAGAAGTGGTGCTCTCCATTTCCTTTGCTTTAGGCTGCCAGGAAAACTGCATCATCCCCTTCTGACACTTCTGCTTGGCATGAATAAACCAGATCTTCCTCTTTGTCCCACAGAGGTGTTTCTAATACACTTTGTATGCATGTGCACTTTGGCTGAAAAGACCCTGATAAATCAGTGTTATCTAATATGTGGAGATAAAACCTGTGTCAAAATTCCTGTCCCTTCTCTTCCCTGGAATATCAAGTCTTTCCACCACGTGTCCTGCCAGCAGGTTTACACTGAGGCAACTACTTTTTACTGAGAAATTAGTTTGGACACACTATAATTAACGTGTTGACTTTAGTCCCAGGTGGAGGAATACAAACAGCTGAAGGACACCCTCAAAAAAATACCGAGTTTCCGACAGCCTGAGAAGCTGGAAGGAGGAAATGAGCAGCCTGAGGTGCGAGGACTGTCCCCCCACAGCGACCCCCCGGAGCACCAGGGACCTGTGACCCAGGAGCACCAGGAGGTAGGAAGTGCTGACTGGCTTCATACACCACAGAAATGGTTCTTATTCAGCAAAACCTGTGCTGAAAGTCTGTTAGAAGTGTGGTTTTATTTCTCAGATCTTGAGTAAAGCAGTGAGGAACAGTTTGATCTTATAGATAAAAATATATTCATGGTGACCTTTTCTCATGTGACTGTAAGGCAGTTTTAAGTGTATTTGTGTCAGCTGTTTTAAGGAGTTGTTAAAAATCTTAACCTCCTGAATAGGTGGTCTCTAAAATTTTAGATACCTCATGTGTTACAGAAAAGCTTGAACAAGTTCTGAAGAAATTGTGTTTTATATAGTTCCAGTGGCACATTAAGGTCAGGGTCTTTAAAACTGGCACACTGTCCAGTGTTCAAGAAGAAAACATGAAGTCTGGGTGTTACAAAATCAGTTGTGTTTTTGTTTTACAAGAACTCTCAGCTGGCAGAACCCACAGGAAATAAAAATCATGGAATCATTCAGGTTGGAAAAGAACTTTAAGATCATTGAGTCCAACCATTAACCCAACGCTGCCAAGGCCACCACTAAAATGTGTCTGTAAAATACAAAATTGTAAGAGTTTTTGTTCCACTTCAGATAAAATGAGGCTTAACCTGCTCAGTGATGTAACTGTACAACACCTTGTGTAGCTGTGCAGAGCCACAAATCACTAGTGACACTGTTTGGCAGGAGGAGTAGCTTGTTCCAAACCTTGGCCCTCCTGACAGCAGGTTCAGTGCTCCAGGCTGGGATAAAGGATCTATGTCTGTCCTTGGCTCTCTCAAAACTAAAAAAACCCCATAATATCTTGTACACACATAATCCTGTGTGTGTTTTGCAGAATGAGAAGCCAAAAGAGAGAGGAGAAATAAATACCCAGGAACAAGCAGACAGGGCTGAGCCCTTCCATCTCCAGGGAAGGGCTAATGAGGGCCAGCATCCCAAAGAGCTGAATATTCAGGAGCAACAAGAGGCTGGAGAAGATGTCGAGCAACGTGCTGATCAAGTTGAAGAAGAACGCAAAAAGGAACTTCAGGAGGAAGAAATGGAGCAGGCAGGCCAGCCTGAGCACTTAGGGGAGGAACAGGATCAAATCCCAGAAGAGCATGAATGGAAAAAGCAGGAGCAGAAAGAAGAAGAAACCAACATGTTGGGTGATCACCTCCAGTCAGAGGTATGGAGCTCCTCTAATTGATCAGATTTGCTGCTTAAATGAGGCTGCTCTTATCATTGCTTGTCCTGCATTGCACTCACCTATTCCTGGGTAAAACCAGTGTTGTGTTTATAGAAAGTTTGGGATTCAGAGCACTCACTGCTTTTTAGATAAAATTACTGTCGCATTCATAGAAAATTTGGGATTCAAAGCACTTGGATGCATAGGATTCAGGCTCAGCTTGAGCACACTTGTACTGCAGTGCTGGCCAAATCTTAATGAACATTAATTCTGCTGATAAAAAGCAACGGATGGATAAAAAAGAGCAGCAGACTGAATCTTGTCTCCTGCTTTAAATCAGAGGCCTGTGGCAGCTGCTGAAGCACACAGCAGGTGAGAATGGGGCTTATCTTCAGCCCTGTGATGGAGAGATGTCCTGCTTTGCTAATGTGATGCATCTCATCAAATTGAGGTGTGTTTCCTTGTCAGATAAACCTGCCTTCTGCAAACACTTTGCCATCTAAATGCTCATCATCATTTGACAGGAAATTTTAACTGCCAGGTGAACATGACTGGAATAGCCAAGGGAAATCAATGCTCAGCAACAGCCAGTCGTGCTCTGTGCAGCCCTAAATAAAACCAGCAAATCCTGGATTTGCATTCTAGATCGGATCTCCAGTGGAAAATGTATTTTACTGGCCTCGCCTTAGGCTTTGTTAACACTCTCTCTGCTGGCAGATTAATTGTGTAACTCTGGGGTGATGAGAAGCTGTTGCTGAAGAGGTGCAGTGGGTCAGAACAGCAGCAATGGGTTAAGCTGTGAAACTGGAGTTATTTTAAGTTATTGCTGAGTGTAAAAAATGTGCAGTGTCTCACTCAAGGCTAAAAGCAACCCCCACTGAGATTACCAGTGAAATCAATGGAAACATTTGCTGTCTTGTCAGCCATCAAAACCTCCTTAGACTGGTAATATATTGGGGGGGTTTATATTATTGATATGTGAGAAAAGGAAGGGTTGGCATCCCTCAACACGTGATCTTCTCTTGTTCCACAAACACCTCAACACTTCCAGTCTATGTTAAAAAAAAAAATAATTTAAACTTTAAGCAAAGACGGGAAAACTTAAAATAATCTTGCTGTAATTTTGCTGCACAGTTTTCCCTCTGGACAGGTTTCTTCCTGTTTGTTCCTGATCACTGAAACGATGATTAATCTGTGGCTAACACATTTCTTGGACAGATAACACCAACAAAAGCTGTACCAAAGAGACAAAAACCAGCTTATGAGCAACAGCTGGAGCAGCAGCATCTTGGAGCCCAGAGAGCAGAGGAGGCCAACCAGCTCCGGCAGCACCAGGAGTCTCTGCACCAGCAAAGGCTGCGGGGGCAGATCCTGAGGCAGCAACAGCTCCAGGAGAAAGAGCTCCAGCTCCACAAACAGGCAGAACAAGGGGAAAAACTCTACAAAACCCAGCTCAGGTTAAATTCTTCTATGTGAATTTGTCATGGTCTGTGCTCGAGGTTTTGTGGTGTGAGCCCTGTTCTGCTCCCTTGTCCCTGAGAGCAGTTTCCCAGGGGGTCCTGTTGACTATTTCCTTGAAGAGCTGGAATTTTGCTTTCCTAAAATTCAGGGTCTTGACTTTGCTCTTTGCCTGACCCATAGCCATGAGCACTGCGAACTCCAGACAGAGATACAAGCACAAAGTTGGTGTAGCAGGACAGGAAAGTCTTTGTTCTATCAGATGTATTTCAGGGAAGGTGATGGGAGAAAATATCTGGTAATAGAAAGTGAAATTGGAATCCATTCTGGCAGCTGCTGAGAGAGGCAGAGGTGCAGGTGGAGGGTTTGTTTATTAAAGCAGAAACACACTTTTTGAAACTGAAATGATGTTTGGCATTTAATGTTCTCAGCCAACAGGCTCATTATGATAACATGGACCAGGATATTGTACAAGGGGAAGAAGAGCAAGGGATTCAGGAAGAGGAAGGAGGTAAGCGAAGATTCCTGTCCCGGCCATGCTCACAGGTTCCCTGTGTACTGCCTTGCATGGGAGACTTTAATATTCATTTCATATGCAGTTTGGATTCAAGTGAAACATAAACTTGCAACTTAAAACCAGAAGCTCAAATAACCCTGACTGAACTGACTGAGTGGAATAGAGGAATTACTAAAGATCATATTCACATTCCTGAATGAAAAAGTGTCCTTTTCATTGTGCTCCTAGGATAGGGCTTTGTGGATCTTGGTTACATTCCTGGCTCTGTCTATGGGTTTGTTTGATCTCTTTAAATTATATAGAATCATGGAGTGGTTTGGGTAGGAAGGGACTAAGTGGAAACTGCTCTAATACAATAATAACCTAAGAAATTTTTCAGCTTATGAACATGACAACCAGCACCAGGATGAAGGTGAAGACGATGATCAAAATAATGCAAATGAACAGCAAGAAGCAGAACATCAAGCAGAAAATCAGCAGGCTGATGAATCAGTGAGTATGAATTAAGATGCTGCAGACTGCAATCGTTACTGAAGTGAGAACCCACAGGTCTCATCTGACATAATTGTGTGTTACAGAAATAAGATGAAGAGAGGTCTGCTAGGAAGACAGGTTTGACAGTTTAAAACAACATCTACAATCTATTTAGAGCTGTCCTTATTGATTTGGGAAGAAATCAAAAAGAAGCTTCCTTGTTGGAAGCAAATTGCTTATTTCCACATTCCTTTGATCTGTGCTTTAGGTGGAATAAAGGATTTGGACTTAGCTGGGACTTGAACAGGTAAATTTGGCCTCAGAAAAATAACATGAGTGGTCAGTCAAAAAGAGCTGAGATGGTATTTTTGATGCTGTGGTTAGTTAAGAGGGTAAGAGCCAACTCAAGAGCCACTGAAACCAGCTGGAGTCAGTACAGAACTGTGAGGCCTTGAAGGAGGATGTAGGTGAGCACTGAACTGACTGCACAGAGACCTGGGTGCAGCAGAGTCAGTCCTGTGCCTTCTCCCAAACTCCTTCTCACCTGCTGCTGTGGAACATCAAGAGTATTTTCTTTACTCCCCTTCAGCAAATTAAAGTGTATAGTAAATAATTCCAGAGGACCTTTAACTTGTTAGCTATAAAGTTGCAGAACTGCTCTTACTGAATGATAAGCAGAAAGAAAATGCTCCTTTTCTGGATGGCAAAGATGAAAGGTGAGTGTTGTTTTGTTTTATTACAGACATAGACAAGGTCAATAGTGCAGGGCAGTCTGGTACTGAAGGATCACATCAGCTCTCTGGAGCCAGGAGCATTTAAACCCTTATCTTTGTTCACCTGGCCTTATCAGGCACTGTCAGTTGTCAGATAGTCAATAAACAAAAGTTGTTCAACTGCCTCTGTGAAACAGGTCATGAGATTCAGTCTGGTTTTTAGCAGACAGACACCTGTACTTCTGCTCTGTCTCTGCCCAGTGCTGAGGTGCTTTTACCCAGTGAACCCTGATCCTGTAGAGATTCCAGCTGGTGTCAGTGGGGATGGAGTTGGTTCTAGCACAGCTCATGCCAGTGTAGCTTTCAAGGGAAAGGGAGTTTGACCATGAGCTAAAAATGTGCGTTTAACATTCACTTCTGAAAATTGCAGAAGGCAGCCATGGAAGATGTGAATCCTGCTGACGACCCCAATAATCAGGGAGAAGATGAATTTGAGGAAGCTGAGCAAGAGCGAGAAGAAAACCTACCAGATGAAAATGAAAAGCACAAGGAAGCCAGTCAGAAACAAGGACATCCAGGAATGGAAGAGCACTTGGTGGTCAGTAAAGGGAAAGGAGGAACCCACAGGGCCTCTTCAGGAGGTCAAATGCTGCACATTTCAACCCCGTTAAAGCTGTAAACTCCTCCAGAGAGAGACAATCTGTATTGTTATGGCTTTGGTCTTTAGTGGTGTGAATATTCCACTGTCTTCCTGCTTAGTATGGAAGGTCTTGCTGTATTCTGTGAAGTAGTTTTTCTTATAATCATCCTGCTATTTTTCAGTTGAGGGCAGTTTTGAATCACATAACCAGGCTCTCACTGCTGCTAATGAAGGAACTCAGACTTCTTATGCCATTGTTGTTATTTTAGCTTTACATGGAGTTTTAGTTCAAGAACAAGAAGCTTTAATCTTCAGTCTTCTAAAGTTAATAGACATGCACTAGAACCGAATTGTTCTGTGATCTTTGTGCAGATGGCAGGAAACCCCGACCAGCAGGAAGATAATGTGGATGAACAATACCAGGATGAGGGAGAAGAGGAGGTAAGAACACAGACCTCAAGCATATGTGGACTTAGGTAGCAGAGCACATCTCCATTAACATTCAGCCTTGGTATCCTTTATAACTGCAGCATGAACCCAAGTCACTTTGTCTGACTTCAACAAACCTGGAAAGCTTTTGCCATTACTCTGCTGTCCCCTTCTGGATACATTCAGGGTTTCTCATGCAATCCATCAGTCTTACATGCCACACAGTGTTAATTGGGCAATAATTGAAAAGATTAAGCCAATCACAACACAAGAAAAAATTCCTGGAAACCTCAAGGTCACAGAAAACCTCATTAATGTCTAATCACACACTGCCGTTCTGGGCAAACTGCTTCCTTGGCCACTCACTCACTCTTTAGCTCTGACTTTGATTTATTGGTGCTCCTCCTGAGCAATCCAAGCTATTTGCAGGCAGGAGCCACCCTGCAGGCCCTCAACAGCTACCTGATTCATTCCTGCTCTCTGCTTCACACATAATGCTGTACAAAAAGCAGTGAATCAGCTGCTCCTTACTCCCTCCTGGGGAGCACTTTGTCTGGATTAGCTGGGATGCACTCAGCATTCACCAGTTCAGAATACTGTTCCTGACATCAAACCAGCTCATTAGGAACTGGGAATGATTGGCTTCTGGCATCTCCTTTTTGGCTAACAGGAAGCAATTCAGTACATGGGCTATGCCCAGTGTGCTTACTGAAGTAGTAAAGTGTGAGCAGGGATTGAGTGAGCAATCCAGAGAGACATAAGATGCTGTAAGGGGGATTAATTTCTTTAGTAGATTCACTCAAATATTACACATTGCTCCTGAAATCTTTCCCTCAAAGTGATCCTGATGTGAGGGGTGCATCTTACCCAGCTTGCAGGACACTGTTTGGAGCAGATAACAGGATCCTCCAAAAGAAAATCAGGTTTACTGCAAAAAGCATTCCTCTTTCATATTTGCACCTAATGTGGAAAGTGGGACATGGAATTGAGGGAGAGTGCTGACAGAAGAGAAACAAGTGAGAGATCCAAGAGCTGATCATCTGGGAAACAGATTCAGCATGACTTGCTCTCTCCGAGGATAGCATTGGAAGAGATTGTTCTTTGCTCCCAATCCCCCACTTGCTCCTTTGTGGTTTTCCAGGAGCAGCTGGCAGAAGGATCCCTCAAATTCTGGGAGAGCATGGCCAAAGTTACCATTAAATACCTGCATTGCATGCCAAAACTGAAATAGTTCTGGGAGTCCACAGTGGGGTGGGAGTGTCAGTAATGACTCTTTTGGTGTATCATGACACAACACTCCTACTATGAAAGACAAGCAGAAAATAATATCTCTGTAAAGTTAAAGCATGGGATGGAAGGCTAAATGTGTGAGGTGATGATGAGAGGGTCTGTGAGAATTGTAGTTGAAAGTTAGATGCTCTCAGAGGGAGTGAGTTTGCTGATTGTTGGATGTTTATGGGTTTTTTATCCTCCTTTAACCTCTCCATGCCCTCTCCTCCCTCCTTTAAAATCTCCATTCTGCAAAAGCAGTGCTGTGAAAATGTGCACAGTTATGCCACAGGCCACTTTCTAAAAGGAAATTAAACCATGGAGAACATCTCTGTGCTTTGTAGGTCCAGGAAGATTTGACTGAAGAGAAAAAACGAGAACTGGAACACAACGCTGAGGAGCCATATGGTGAAAACGAGGAAAATGTAAGTCCTGGGCAAACCCACAGGTTTGGGGACATGATCAAACCCTGAACACAACTGTGAGCACGTCACAGGGATCTTACATAATTGCTGCAGCTTGCTTTAATCATAGACCTGAAATTTTTATGCCATCCCAACTTCATTTTGCTCATCCTTCCACCTCCACAGCAGTTCTTGCTGCCTGGAGGCCTTGGAAAATCTTCTCCTGTTCCTGTCCATCAGCTCTCACAGCTCCAGCTGACAGTTATTTCACTGCCCTAAAATAAACTATAAGGGAACTGGCACTGAGTATCTGTGTGTAATTTTTCCTGTTCTTTTTTTTCCCCCCAATCAGGCAGATGAAAAGAATAACAGAGGGACAGACCAAGAGCAAGAAATGCAAGAAGAGAACAACCAGAAAGAAGTTCATGAAGACAATTATGAGGAGGAAGAAGAGGAGGAGGAGGAGGAAGGCAGAGCTGTTGCAGCAAAATCTCGTAGACGAGGGGAGATGTAGTCCCTGCATTTTTCTTTTTCAGGACACAAATTCCTGTTGTGGTTTGGTTTATTTTTTTTTTTTTAAAGAACTTTTTTTTAGGATATTTAATTTCCAAAAAAAAAAAAAAAAGCTTGTGTTTTACACTTTTTACTTTTCTATTAGGTGCCCATATGTTTATATGAATACGGTATTTTGATACTCTAGATTAGGATTTCTTTTCTATTCCAGCTGTACATAAACAGACATCCTCGAGGTTTAATTTTCTCTAATTCTGGGCATGGTTTATAGAGGCCATTTTGGATACATTTTCACCTTGTCCAGGTCTGACAGGGTTGTTTGGTGTAATTTCAGACACATTCAACACTGAAGGAATATTTCTAGTGCCTAAATCCAGTTGACTTTAGTCACTCCAGCTCATTGTCTTCCGTGGCAGGATTTATCCTGACTAAGGGCTGGTTATTCCTTGTAACCTCACGAGGACAAGCACAGGCTGAGCTGTTTGCAGGACCAGGCCTTTTCTAGGTGCAGAACAGTTATAAAATATGCAAGCTCTACAAAGCCTTCAGAATGCAGCCAGGTTAACAGCTGTTAATTTTGGCAGCTGTTTATATACACTTCAATTATGCATTTATTTTAATGAGCATACCCAGGTACCTCAATTACACGCACTGCCTGGCAGCTCATGCAGATGGGGGTGTGCTGGAGGAGCTGGGAACCCATTTAGACTTGAAGCTCCATTATGCCAAATCACAACACTACAGCTGTCACAGGGATGAAGATTTACAGCAGCAACAATTTCGTTGTCCTTGTTAATATATGAAATATTTGACCGGAGAACTATGATTGTGTTGTCTCAGTGCCCCGTTTTCTGGAGCCTGCAGAGAGTAACTGAGCTGACATGATTGGTGCAAGATGTTGAACTAAGGCCTTTTTACCTTCTTTTACTTATTTATTTTTTGAAGTCTGTGCTGGGAGGATTTCTGTGTGCCCTGGTGTGAGAATCAGACTCGAGACAAACCCCACAGAAGTTGTTTTGCCCAGCAAACACCTCCAGCACTGCATGTGGAAACCTGAGGGTGGGGGGGACAACACAAAAACTGTGCCTTGGTGTAGGCTATGAACATAATCACAGTGCATGAATCTATACAATATTTGTATTGGTACAGACACTAGTTATTTAATATATGTTAAAGGAGAATGGGAATCTGGATTTCCCAGGCTGTGCCCCATTGCTGGAAATGAGGCCCAGGGGAGCTCCCCAAAGTGTGTGTTAATATATAAAACGAAGGATTGGGGGTTTTCCCCTTTTTTAATAATGATACATAGCAATGTTTTTAGTTTTAACTTTTTATATGAATGTAATTTAATTCATTTTTCTACTAACTCAATTATATTAAGTTTTATAGTTGGTTTCCATTCTTTGCAATTTTCCTAAATGTCCCCAACCCAGTGCTTACGTTTCACAGGAAGATTTTTGTCAACAAGTATTTTGGGTTTTCTAGTTACCATAAATAAGATTTACCTTATGTATAAAAAAGTTTACATGAGACTGTAAAATGTATAATATGTACATAATCTTCAGAATACAATTATTTTGGTAAATTGGCCTGTATTTTTAATGTCACGGTTGCAGTATTTAATTATTTGAGGCATAATAAAACTTGACTGCAGTCAATAAACTAGGACATAGTTACTGATCTTGCACAAGTGTGAGGTTTTGTGTTAGTTTTCCTAACAGTGTGTTTGTATTCCATTTTAATAGAGCAAGTAGGGACAGGCAGGGAAAGAGCTGGAGCTCTTCAGGGGAGTGGTATTTTCAGGGGAGTGGAGCCTTTATATTAATGGATACAGCAGTACCCATGGAGATGTGAAAAACAGACTGTCTGCAGTGCAGAGAAAGCCACTCCAAAGCCACCTGCAGGTACAAACTATCCCCCAGCACAGCATCTTCCCAATAAGCTGCTTCTTACTCCTTTCCAATTGCTTCAGCAGTTTGCTGGCTGTGGGTGAAATTAAAGAGCTGCTCACAGGTCCCAGTGTCCCAGGGCACAAAGCAGGTTTATTAAGCAGCTTTGGTGATATTCTGTTGGATATCATCCACTTGGGTAACAGGTGGCTCCAGCAAGAGAGACAAAACCCTGCCCAGGACGAGAATAAGGGCTCCCCCTGTGCTGGACCAGCCCGTGTTCCCCACAGATGGATGGTCACTTCAGCAAGCACAATAAGTGCACATCAGATGTGAACAGGCCAAGAAAGTCTTCACAATAACCTGTTCTGTGCTTGATCAAGGGCCTGTTCACTGCAGACAAGAGTTACTTGATTGAAGATCAACTTCATGAGTGAGACATGAGGCTCAAAACCTGTGTGGCACCTCCACAGCACACCTTGGCCACCACTCCATCAGTTCTGGGGCTTTCCCACACTCCCCAGCCAGCTTTGCTCCCTGCCAGCAGCTCAGAGCTCAGAGATGCAGGACTCAAACCCCAATTCCAATATTTTTGCAAAGTCTCTTGGGGGACCTTGCACAGCTGCCTGCTCTGGGCTCCCCCTGGAGTCATTCCGACCCCTGTGCCTGACAAGGGTCACTTAGTGCCAGACCCACTGGGCCCATTGGGTGCTTGAGCTGGTGATGAGAAGGGGGACCCACGTGTCAGGTCCTCATTGCCCAAGGATCCCTGGAATTCAGGGAATGCCAAATGCTTTGCTAAATCAAGAAATTAATGAGCTTATGTGACCTAAAAATAAATTGGAGATGTCCCACAGCTCCAGCCCTGGCACACAGAATGAACAGCAGAGGGAAATGCTCTGTCTCAGTTTTCCAGCTCATAGAGTGTGACTCCCAGCATGACACTGTGGTTTAGGACTAATGAGAGTCACACACCAATGGAGTGAAAGTTGGAATTCAAAGGGAAAAGTTACATCACTCTGGGATTTGGCAGCCCAAGACAGCCATGGGCACACCATGACCAGGGCTGACATCCACTCATCAAAATATTGGAGACAGTTCAGGAAACAGGGTGAGACCAATGGGAAAACTCAGCTTATGGAAAGAAAGTTCATGCTCCAGACAGCTCAGGAAAGACTTGGCTGAGAACTCACAGAGGCAGCCACCCAGTGAGACAGAAGCCCTCAGCCTCCCAGTAAACACAAAACAAAACCCCACAATAAAACTCAGGCCAGAAATACACCATGTTTAGTAATTAAGTTAATTACTCACTGCAGCAATTTATTTAAAGGCTGTGATGAATTTGTGATCACGACACATCTTTGACAAGTCTTTCTAATTCAAACCCAGCTAGGGCATTGTGATAGAGTCCTGCCTATGGTAGATTGAAAGGTCAGTCAGGAGGATGATAAGAGGCATAAATACACAACACAATGACATTCAATGAATAAAACCCAATGGAATTAATTCTGCAGGTCAGGAAATGCTCCAGCGGATCAGATCCAGTGCTGTGGCTCCACAGCTCACCTCAGTTAAAATGCTGTTCCTTGCTGTGTTATCTTTAACAGCGAACAGCAAACTGGCTGTGGTTCAGAGCACAGCCCACAGATACACTTGGCACTGAGAACAAATTAGGTCCTGACAAGTTTTATCCACTTTTGCCGCAGGTTTTCCCTGCGAAGGAGCCGCAGGGCACTCCCTGCTCAAAACGACCTTCACTCGGCTGTTCAAGTCTGAGCACGTAAAACATGTTTACAGAGCACACGGAGCTTCTTCCTCTGCTACAGCCAGAAATAAATGTTTATTGTTACATTACCCAGAATATTTGCAGGGTGAGGGGAACGAGAAGCCCAAAGCTGTGCATCCAGAGCAAGATAAAGAGCTGTCTTCAGTACAGCTGACACATCATCAGCCCTCAAACAGGTTTCCCTTTCACAGTTCTTACTGGTTCAAACGCAGAATTATTCATGATTTTCTCGGCATCATCACATTTAAAGGGAATAAAGAACAAAATGATTTTGTCATATCTACTAATAAACTCTTTTTAAAATGTTTTCTTTGAATTTCAGTGTATTAAAGGTATTTATCAGCTCTGTTACAGTCAGAGACTCAGCTGATGAGCCTGGCAACAGCTTCACGTTGCTCACATGCTGGAATGCACCAAGGAAAGTTCAAGGTGCATTGACATCAATAACCTCTGATTGCTTGAAACACAATCATTGCCCTATAATAAACTTTTCATTCTCAAAGCTGCTTCTACCTGCAGATCACGAGTCATTTTATGAAAGTGTTTAGACCCTGTCTTAGGGAGAGGCACCGAGGGAAGGCAGCACAGGGGATTTTAACAAGGTTTTTGAGAGGAAGCCTGGGAACAGAGACCAGATTGGGCCTGAGTTTAGCCCTAGAGTCCTGCTGAGCCTTCTGATCACAGTCATCAATATATAAAACTCTATCTTCTGCATGTTTTCAACCACACAGCGGATGGTTTCATCAGTTCAAAAAATATTTTGCAGCAGAATTTTGCCCTGGGGCTGATCTCTCACTGTTTTAGTTTCCATCCCTCGTGTGTACAAGCTCCTGACCTTCCCTTGCCTCACCTCTGAGGTCACCCGGCGCCTGTGTGTTTCCTCAGCTCCAGATCTACATTTCCACTGCACAAATTAATGCTCTGCCAAAGTTTCAGAGGTGGCAAAACTATCAGGATGTTTTTTCTTCATCGTAAGTGCTGCATCTGTCAGCCACATACGTGACCACAGGGGCACAAAATGCCTTGGACACACTCCTGGTGCCCTGGAAGCTGCAGTAACAGCCCCTTCAGGGAATGCCCATCACGGAGCTAACAGGCTGGAAAAGCTGTCACAGAGTTGCCTTTAGTGCACATATGAGCTTAACTATGAATTGAAGCAGATAAAAAAAGGTGAGCTTTAATGAAAGGTTAAACCTCACAGGGAATTTTATCCATGACCTTATGTCAAGGGAACAAAAAAAATAAGAAAGAAAGCTCTAGGTGACATTTTGGAAAAGACAGAATCCTTAATTAACGACCAAATGCTATTGTTAGAAGAAAATAGTCAGAGTTCTGTAAAAATGAGATTATGAAATTAAATCACAGACCTTGTGAATCCCACTGGTGTCAAAGAGAATGGAAAGAGCTGTGGTTTGTCCCTAACCTGTAGAAAGCTTGATCTTTCCCAGCAGGAGCTGCAAAGTACCTCTGTAAAGTAGTAATTGTGGTGAAAAGCCCAGGTCAACCCTGTGTAAGATACTCCTGGTTGCAGGACCCCGAGCTGCTTGTGCACAGCAGATATTCCAATGGAATATTAGCAGCCCTCCCATGTTACAAGGATTTACAGGAATATTCTGGTCATTTGCTGTGACAGGTGAGAAACACAACAGCTCCTGTGCATGAAGCTGAGAGGGCTTAACATACATATATATGTATTATAATGGGTACAAATTGAAAAATGGTAAATTTAGGTTAGATATGGAAGGAATTCTTCCCTGTGAGGGTGGGGAGGCCCTGGCNGCCTCCATAAAGTGGCATTTTTCCTTCTAAAGGTGCTGCCTTGGGATAATTTTGCCCAGAGCCAAAGCAGCTGCCACCAGGTCACATTCCAGGGAACCCTGCAGAAGTTCCCTGCCTGTTTCTTTGGACACACAAACCCCATCTGGTGTGAGCAGTGGGGTTTGTAACCTCCTCACTGCCTCAGAAAGCCCCAGATTTCATCCCAGTGAATGCAGGCAAGGAAAACACAGAGAAACAAGGAAACAAGACTTCAGAACTCCAGGAAGGCTTTGGTTTGTTTGGTTCCTTCTGGGTAGGGAGGTAAAGGACATTCCCATTTGTATCACCAAGCCCATATTCAATAATTCTTCAAGGCAAGACATACATTTAACTGTCAGAGACAGAAAATGGTAAACCTGGAGTGAATTTCCCCCATTCCTCACAATATTTGGGCCCATCTGGGTTTCATCTCCTGCAAAGCATCACCACAAATGGATTGCTGCATCATTCCTTTTTATACAAACCATTCATAACGTTCTCCAAAAATGACAGATTGCTCCCTTCCTCGCTCTCACCAACAGGCAGCAAGCACACTGACAGCCAAAGTAATGCAATACCTAATAAGAGGATTAAGTAGAGAGGAATTCTAGTTAATATTGTATTAGCAATGGCTGATACCTTCCCTGCCCATTCTAACTCCCTCACAGGATACAATGTCCACGCTTGTAAGGGAAGCTTATTGACATCTGATCAGTCAATAAATCTGTTCTTGTTTTTTAATGACCCCAAGAGCTGGTTCCACACGCTCACATCATCTTACCAACAATTTACCCTCATAAATTAATAACTGCCTTTAGGGCCTTTTAAACCCTAGAACCTGTTTTAGCTCCTTTTCAGTAATTTTCATCTAATTGCAAGTCAAGTCTTGGGGCAGAGCAGGATTAAACCTCACCAGCCCCAACAGAGCTTCGAGGAACCAATAACAGAGAGGCAGAGACATGAGGCTCCTCCTGTGCACAACCAATCCAACACCTACAAACAGCAGGAAAAACCTTCTCAAAGAATCTGTGAGTCAGGACATCAGATTTTTGTCCAAGGTGATTAGAGGGACGGAGCATCTCTGCTGTGAGGAAGGACTGGGAAAATTGGGATTGCTCAACCTGGAGAAGCAAAGTCTTGGTGTGACCTAATTGTGTCCTTCCAGTAGCTGAAGGAGTAACAAGAAAGATGGAGAGAGACTATTTACAAGAGCCT